TTCAGTTGGTTGACCTGTTCGACAAGTTGATCCATCTTGGATGCCTCACTCACTGACCGATCAACCGCCTCTGGAACCACCACCAGCACGTGACTCTGTCTCGACTGTGGGGTGGGCATATTGTTTTCTTCCAGCACGTACTCCAGCGAATCCTCTCCCTGTAGCTCTTTGTCTTCGTGTGTCAGCGCTTCGATTAGCGCAGTCTTTTCCCCCTTCTTGAGCTTCTTCACATCATCTGTGCTTGATTCGAGCCACGCGCCCGCCGCTGTCTTAGCCAGGAACAGCCGCAGCTGGTCAGCTTCACACTTGATCGTGTCAGGCTTCTTCGCCTTAATCGCATCCTTCAGGTGGCCTACTGTCTTCTGCTCGTCGATATCCACAGGGACGACGTCCAATCCCCCTTCCCGAACTACCGCACACATCAGGGTAACCTCTACCATCTTGTATTTGAGCCGGCGGATTCTAGAAAGGGAGAAATTTTGAAATCGTACTTAGGCCGAAATGTGTGTGGTACATATTAACCTCTTGGACCTATCTAATATGAGTTTGATGATCCTAATGTTCTGAGACTATTGATTGGTTGTCTGGTTAGAAACAGTGTCTGCATTATACTTTAGATTAGAAACAATTAAACCTACTCCCGATTATTAATTAAGCTAAGAATTTACGAAATTAAAAAACTGCCGGCGTAATGTTCCAGTACTTACTACTTGAATCTATTCCAGCTCTACGTGAGACTTTCTCCCGCTACTCTGCTGCAGACAATGTACAATACAAACTCACAACAGACTCCAACCTTGTAGGTAAGCGCATTGCATGGGAGCGTATTGAAGTCGGTCCACTGCTATCCCGTGGAGCTTTTGGAGAAGTGTGGGCATGTCGCTATGCTGGTAAGAAGGTGGCGGTCAAGCGATTGCTACAGACTAAGAAGCTTACATTTCAAGAAACAGCGAAGTTCATCAACGAGATTCAATTGACTGCAAGTTTAAAGCATCCTCATATCGTTCGGTTTATAGGAGTGGCGTGGAGCAGTTTAGAAAACTTGGCCATGGTTGAAGAATTTTTACCTCGCGGAGATTTACAACAATTTTTAAAGCGAAGTGGAGACTTGATGACGTGGGCACGGGACAAGGTTGACATGGCGATTGGCATTGCTAAAGCCATTGATTATCTCCACAGTCGTCAAGTCATCCATCGTGATCTGAAAGCCCGAAATATTCTGTTAACTAAGAGATTGCAGCCGAAACTTATTGATTTTGGAACGAGTCGAGTCTGGAAGCTCAATGATATGACAGCTGGTATTGGAACTCCCTTCTGGACAGCACCAGAAGTGCTTGAGAGCTCTAAGTACACAGAA